ACATTCCTTTTATTTCTTTATTAGTGTTGAACTAGACTCTTCAACTTTACTTACATCTAGGTATGTGCTCATGTCATCACTCATGATACAGTCACGTGATCGTGGTAACTTTGAGAAAGGCTTATATTCGACTTATTTGTTTATTAGTGTTGAACTAGACTCTTCAACTTTACTTACATCTAGGTATGTGCTCATGTGATCACTCATGATACAGTCACGTGATCATGNTTATTTGTTTATTAGTGTTGAACTAGACTCTTCAACTTTACTTACATCTAGGTATGTGCTCATGTGATCACTCATGATACAGTCACGTGATCATGACAACTTTGAGCAAGGCTTATATTCAACTTTTTTCTTTATCAGTGTTGAACTAGATTCTTCTACTTTGTGTCTATATATCTAGGTATATGGTCATGTGATCACTCATGATACAGTCACGTGATTATAACTACTTTGTACTAGCTAGGTACATGGTCATGTGATCACTCATGATACAGTCACGTGATACATTATACGTGCATTAACTTTACTGATATAAAACCAACTGAATATTAGCGCGCATTAACGTCTGTGGTCACGTGATCACTAATTTTGATACAGTCACATGATTATGGGAGCTTTCATATTCTACCTATCGCTCCGTCCATGTCATCACTAGATCCTCCAAGCCTACTGGTAATTGGCGCTTCTATTTATATATTATATGTGATCGTTAATGATACAGTCACGTGATCGTGGCAGCTTTGAGATTACGAGAGAATTATATTTGATCTATTGGTTCTGATCAGTGTCATCACTAGATCCTTGAAGTTTACTGATGAAGTTGCTAAAGCCGGCCATGTACGTATTCAAGCGTAGTCAGACTGATCTTCATCCCTTATATAACAACACAAACACGTTGCACATATGATCCCCATCAGTTGAATGACAGCAATCCAAATACCGAACCCACTGATAACGTGCAAGTTATTAGACAAGTACTTCTTCACGTATATATAGCATCCCCTTCGGTAAATCTTAGTGGGATCTTCTCGTATATTTTTGTTGCACGAAGCATCGGAAGGGTCTTTACAGCAGCTTTTCGGCACGCTGTTATTGTTCTGTTGACCCCATTTTGTCTTAAACCAATCCTTATAGTCATAATTGCCGCAGCATTTGAAATCCTGGTGGATTTCGTCGATGGCTTTGGTGACTACATCGTGTCCAGGAAGCCTGAATTCATTCATAGTTTCTCTTATGTCTCCTCTAAGATTTTTTTCTATGCGTTCTCTGTAGACGTAAGCGAGCACTATTGCCGTCACTTCGAGGGAAAATATCAAGATAACGAGACCAAAGTAGGCGCCTAACATACACTGGTTTTCTTTGAGCGCTCCACAACAGGCTAAGAAAGCCACAATGATCGTTACAATGCCAATCACGATGCAAAGAATGGGAGCTGTTTTGTAGTTGATTGTGCCTGTCAGTCTGCCGTAGTCGCCAGCTACTTCGTCCTTGTTGCTCACAATCCACACACCGATGCTGAAAATCGCACAACCGGCTAAGAAGAACAGGAGGTTGAAGAAAAATACCAAGAACTTGATGCACTTGAAACCCATGTCTCTTGCTGCCATGGTTACAAAAATACAGTGTACTGCTCCCTTAAATAACTTTCATGATGAAAACGTGGACTTCAAATACTACCAAGATTTTAAACTATTGGTTTATTTTTCGATTTAGTCGAGAATTTTGATTTGTTGGGATTCAATATATTTTGACGACCAGGCCTTGCAAAGCTACCACTGAAGTGATTCTCGTCCAGAATTGAGATCCTGTGCCGGATCTATGCCAACTCAAAGGTGAAATTAAAGAAGTAAAACTCTAACCAATTAGTTAGTAATCAACTAATTGGAAAATCTTTTTTGATATTTGTCCTTTTTGATTAGTGTTTCCGTCACGTAAAATCTCTGATCCTTGAAGAAAACAACAACAAGAAAAACTTTCTTTGCTGTTCCCTGACTTAGTAAATTGCGGTCTTTCCGTCTCAATATGACGTCTTCCAGTAAAGACGAGTCAACGAGGAACCAAATCTGTGCTGTATCTTGGGCTGTAAGTAACAAGGAATGCCAACTGATCAGCTTTTTTGAAGATTTGACGATGACCTAATCTCGTCGTTAGAGGCACCGTTCCTTGAAAAACAAAGTTCGCTGAAAACGTGCCAGTACTTTTTCGTTTGCTGTCGACTAACCACTAAAGAGACCCAACTTTGCCTTTGCACAGTGTACTCCAAGAGGTCGCGGTAGAATTTTTGTTAATTATTGGTAAAAAGAATATAATTTACAAAGCAAGTAGCCAGGAATTCGAAAGAAAGACTTAATGCTTGAGTTAACAAAGGATTTCCTATTTTCTTTTTGAATGTGTTGTCAATTATTTATTAAAGATCGTTGTTACGTGTTGTTTCTGTTGCTTGCCACCATGTGAATGCACTCGAAGTGTAGCTGGTGCCTTAATTCATTTTGTTTGGTAACAGACTTATGGGCTGTCTAACATTCTCTTCACGTCACGAGTGAAATGAGACGAAACGGGGGGGAAATAAAGGTGACACAGGGAGCCCAAACTGTCCTTTCCTGGGATCTATACCAGTTGTGTCATGTCCTTTGCTAATTTGTACACCCATTTAGCTGCCATGTTTGATAACAGGAGAGCCAACTTGTCAACTTTTTTTCATAAAACTGACGGGGCGTTGTATTGCGACCAAATCACGTGATCTCTAGCTGATCCAAAATAGTGACGTACAAGTGATGTCACTGCAAAACTGACCAGTGAAAAATATAAGCATGCTCGCAATTGCAATGAAAATACTAAACAATATCAAAACAATTAAATATGATATCACTGTTATGAAGCACTTATTAGTAACGTTTTTTCCAATTTGATAGCCCGGAAATCCTAAATTTCAAGAGGAAAAGTGACGCCTAAATAATACCCCATTCACACCAAGGTTTAAACATGTTTTAAAGTGGTTTAACTAAACAGGTTTGGAAAACTATCTACGAACACTGCAAAATCTTTGGTAAAATAATGCATGTAAACTATCCTTTGTATTGCTCTGATAATATTTTAGAAAGTTTTATTATATTGTAGGTTTCTAGTTTCTCAATTTTTTTCCTAATGAAAACATAGTTTAACTAAACACGTTTAGGTCTGAATGGGGGTATAAGATTTGCAAATTTTCTGGATTTTGATTGGCTAACATTTTTTCTCAGGTCAGCGGCTAGCCTAAACTGTTCAACTCAGGAAACTTTGACAAGATAAAAAAATTTTCCTTATGTCTCCGTAATCTTACAATCTTACTCGAAGTAACCTCCCTAATTTTAAAGCTTCCTAAGGATTGATGCTATGGTCTACTCGGGTGAAATAATTTGTCGATGTTCACCTCTCATCCCCTCCCCTACTGGGTTTGTTTTCGTTCTCATTACCAGTCTCTCTTCCATGACAACATTCAAGATGGCGGGAAAGCTGTTTACCTTAGCAGCGACATGGCTCTCGATATTCTGCATTTTCCAAGGTAAAAATACATTAACAATCCTTTTTATCCAGTAAGTTATAAATAACTAACCTATTTCCTTGTTACTGTGGTTACAGAATCTCAATTCACGGCAATAAACGCTCATATTTTACAAGAGTTCACAGGCGCTCAGCTCACTTCGCGACTAGAAAATCCTTCCTTGCTAGAATGGCCGCTCTGTGTGATTTTTAAAAGTTCCTCGGATATTACACCATTTGAGAGTATTTTAGTGGAATTCTTCAATGGTCTGGAGGAAGAGAATTGTTACAAGAACTGGAATTTTGCTGCTATTGACACACGGCAGGTAGGTGTCTAACTTTCAGAAATGTTTTCCAACTTTTACAGCTGTAATGATCTTATTTCTTATCTTATTTATTCATGAAAAATAATAAAATATGTACGCGAAAAAATCTAAATTACTTATATCTTTGTTCAATTTTAATTCTTATTTTTAGATATTTTTGTGTCTTCAGTTTTCATATTTTCTGCAAATTCGATAACCCATTCACATGCATAATATTTTGTTATTTCCAGCATATTATTCCTTTAAGAGCATACCCAGGTTTTATACCATCATTGGTGTGCTATATTGGAGAGTCTTCCCCATTACAGTACAGTGATCCTAAACCATCGCACAAGTCAGTCAAAAAATGGTTCAGGAAGGTCGTAAGTACTAAGTCTTGATTGATACTGTATATTACTGTAATAATTTTCAAGGGATAGTTTCCACATTTCCGTATATCTAATTTTGCATACATTTGGGTCCAGAGATTGTTTATTCTTGGGTTTCTACTTTCATATTGACTGACACTGGTTATTATGGTCGTAAAAAAAAAAACAATACGCAAGTGGACATGATAATTGAAACAGGAAGTCAGTGCAATAAATTATATCTTTTGTCATAAACAGGGTACCCCTTTCAGAATCCCAGCGCAACACCCCTACCCAAATTCTGGCGGAGTATCCCCCCTCCCCCCCGGGCAATCACCCCTCACATGGCCTGGCTATGGCCTGGTTCAGTCATGATAATTAGCAGTTTCTCCATGAGCCTGAATGAGCTATGAGTCAATAGCCTCATGGACTATTGATTCATAGGCCATGAGGGTGAAAGGACTAATAATTGTTGTTTTAGTCAAACCCAAATACATGTAGTCGGTCAAACAAGTTTTGAATTAAAATTAAAATTTAATGTTTTGGTTTTCAAAGCTGGCACTTTTTGGAAAAAAGTATAGCCTAGTAGTAGCTCATCCAACCAGAATGCAGCATTGATGATAGGCCACTGGTTAGATTTGACTAATTTTCAATATCTCTTGCAGGCCAAGTCATTTAAGAAGAGAATATTACCTGTTACCTTGAATAACCTCAAGCCGTTGATTTCTGAACATGACGGCATTACACTGCTTGGAATACCAGGGAAATTGTTCCATGCACAGCTGGAAGAATCTTTCAAAGAGGTGGTTATACTGTACAAATCTGCATATATCTACAATCTCTGCTCATCCATATAGAGTACCGAAGTGTAACATCATCAAATTCCACATTATTTTTGCAATTCATTTTTGAAATGTTCAATATTTGAAGACAATGCAACATTGCCTACATTCCTGCCAACTATAAGGCTGTTGGGAGTTTTAGGAATGGAGATATTGGGCATATCACTTCAGTACTCTATTGATTGATGTCAAATGACTATTTGTACTTCTCAATCTAAGTGTGGAAAATGGGTGACAAAATGTGGGGATCTGAAATTTATTTTAGCCAATTTATAACTTAGGATTGTGGAGCCATGCAATATAGAAGTTGGTCATATTTATCCTTGCAAAAGCAATTTACTTAGATTATTTATATAAGCTTATCCTATTATCTACGAGCTACATGTATTAGTATTTTATTGTCAATCTCAATATTCTATTGTAGGTTGCAGTAGAATGGAAAAAAAGAGTAAAGTTCTATATGATTCCTCCAATGTCTGATGATGAAAGGTAAAAAAAACTGTTTATGGAATTGTATGGCTGTCACATTTTTAAAATACAATCAACCATCAACCAATCAAAGAAATCTTTAATGCAATCCTGCATCCTGATTGGTTGATTTGTTGTATTTTCTTTGTCTCTTTATTTGAACAATTTGTGTGAAAGCTTCATGAAGCATGATAAACTCTTTCTAATGTAAATAGGCTAACCAACATGGCGGCCGCCAGCTAACTTCTGTCTAAAACCCCTTAGATCATGGGGACTGGTAACAATTACATAGTCACAAATATGAATATATCCAAATATAAATGTTTCCAAACATAACTCACAGACGACATTAATGTAGTGTGACAAGTCTTGCATAATTACTTTACTAAATATGTAATTTTTTTTAGAAATGTTTGTGAGAAATATGGAATCGTGGAGTTTCCGGCAATTCTGTTTTTTGATAAACAAGGTAAATAACAAACTACTGAATGAACTTTTCCTATATTCATAGCTAGATGATTTAGTTACTTATATCAATCTGTAATTCCAGAAAATATCCATACAGTATAGTTTACCCCATCCACTAAAAGTGGATCAAAGTTTAACAGTACACTGTAGATAGGACAGCATTGCTGTTTTCTTTGTTTTACTAACTTTTGTAGACCAAAAATTCTATAATACTGAAAGAAAGAGACACGTCTATGAGAGGAGGGATAGACAGAAGGACAGGGGGAGGGAGTATGAATGGGAAGAAGGATAGGAGAAGCAGGGAGGAATGAATGGGTGGGAAGAAGGATCAACGAGGATGGAAGGAATGGAGAGAGGATGGAAAGAAATGGGAAGAAGAACATAACAAACGAAGGGAGGAAGAAATGGAGAAAGAACTGAATGGTTTGGAGAAGGGAGGGAGAGAAAAGGATGAAAAGTATAAGGAAGGAATTAAAAAAAGGGAAGAGAGGAGTAAATGCAGTAAACTTGATTGTGTAATCACACCAAACGTTTCATGGCCACAGAATGGGATGACAGTCAAAAGCCTGTGACTTTATTTCAAGGCCAGCTGAATACTGGTGTCTATCAGATCAAGCTAGAATTAACCATTAGGAATACTACAGCAACCATTTTTAATCTGGTGAGCAAGTGAATAAGTATTGATTTCTTTATTCTTATATTACTTCCTTGGAAGACTTACATAATTATTTGCTTTATATTAATACTCTAAAACAACCTCAACTTAAATATTAATTATGTGTTTTTAATCCTGCCTGGAGAAGGAACAGAATGTGTACATCTTTAACCCCATTTCATTTACGATTTTTTCTTTTCTTTTTTTCTTTCAGGCTAATTTCAAGAGTGTGGTTCTTGAGACCAATGTTCCCACATCCCCCACGGCCGTCACATTCTACTCCCATAGAAACCAAAGATCTTTAGACTACATCAATATTATTGATAAGGCAATAAAGGAGTTTGGAAGGATTGACCCATCATTTCAATTTGGATTTGTGAATTTGGTGGATGGCAGTGAAGGTACATAGGATGACTATTAGTGACGTTAAGGCCTAGGGCAAACGTCGAACTTCTATGCACCGAACTTAATTACTGTACATCAAAGAATGCCGCCTCATTATCACCTGATATCCATTGTTTTTAATGAGTTCGGTGTATGGAAAGTTCAACGTTTGCCCTAGACCTAAGTTTTTCAAAATCTATGATGGCGACGTCAACCAGAAGTGTACATTGTAAATGACTTCACTTTAGGGCTTTGCGCCCTCAAAGTCTGTCTTCCCTATTCACTATTGTGATCCTGGTATCCATCTTCATAATATTTAAGTAGAGTTGCTTGTTAGTTGTCTCCCTTTCTCCAACCCATCACCATACTCAACACTTTTAAGTTAAAATCAGGGGTTTCATTAAAGATCGAGAATCAGAGAATGCTGCAGTAGCTGATTAAGATTCTCTGGCTTCAACTACCATTACTGTGCTGATACTCCAACTGGGACCACTTTAATAAACTAGTATCATTAAACAATCATGCATCTGCATCTTGCAACATTTAGTTCAATAAGAGCATGAGAATGTTATAATCTGATTGGCTTATGCTGTTATCAGTTCAGTCTCTGTCTAAGATTACTGTTATCTGATTGAACAGTTTTATTCAAGTGGTCCCTGTGTGTCCATACAGTAATTGCTTAGTAATTCGTAAAAGGTTCACTTGTTACCCAGGACTGTCCAGTAGTTTGTGATCTTCTCCTATTATTTCAAGCGATAAGGCTTAATGAAAACCCTGCAAATCCACAAATTAGTCATTTTACTCGTTTGTACTGTTTTTAGTTGTTTTCAGGCATGTTAATGCATCCCTGGTCTCAGCTGTTCCTTTCACTATCATCTTTTGGCAGAGCAAACACCAAGATGATTCCAGTAGGTCAAGTGGTTGAATTTTTTTGATTGGCAATTATTATGCTACCTGTAGGGTTTTCAAGTTGTGACGTACATGCACATGTATTACTGGGTCCAATTGCTTGCAAAAACCCCTAGGATAGAGCAAAAAGTGTCTCAATTTACTCTCCAATTATCATCCTGTCATGAAGAAAAAGTCAGGAAAATCTTTAAAAAACTGCTTTTCGTTTTGGATTTGGAAGTCACTTTTCCATACATGCATGTTTTTATGATGATGATGATGATTTGAGTGGTAGTGGCAGTGATAGTAAACAATAATTGTGCGTAATCATGATGATGATGATTAGAGAGGTAGTTGCAGTGGTGGTGAACAAATGCACATGATGATGATGATTAGAGTGAGACACTCATTCTTAGTTAACGGGACCATTTGATGTCGCACATTAATAGATCACTATCTTTT